TATCGGGGACCAAGATAATTTTTGTTCATTCAGTAATCACTTCTGTGGACGGGACGAAAACTCTCCTATCTGCAAGACCCTCCTGCTGTCATAAACCGCGATACGCTACGTGTTTTCATTTTTCTCGAATCTGTACACTAGTAATGTAGGCTAAGGATTTTGATATGAAGTATTATATATTGCTTCATTTAATTTATTTGTTTTATACGCAAATCTTTGATTGAAGCGGACGTATATATATATTTTATTGTGAAATATCACACTGGTGTTATATGAAACACGAAAAAGTACTAGATGATCAATATCTGAAGATCCTATAGTTTTTTTTTCGAATACACATATGACAAATCTACACCCGTGTTATTGATACTGGAATAAAAAAAAAAGAAGATATGTACAGATATTTGTATATCGTAATACTGTATGGCCTTGTTCAGATATCATGTCCATCGAAATCACTTATGACGTCAGACTAGGGAGTCAAAACAAAGGGGCGCCGGGTCTAATTTGGCGGGTCCCTGAAGGACAAAGATGGTGGATTTGGCCTGCATCACCAGTTCATCTTATCGGAGCTTGTTGAGTGACAATTCCTACAGTCTGACTGTAATGTAGCTCAATATCACCGCCATCTTATCGGCTCCTAAACGTCAATCCCCCGTCCATTTTATCAAATCGACAAACTAAAAATAGGATTTCTATGCTTAGCATAATTTGTTGTATGTAAATTCCTATTGTTTTTGCCCTGTGTGTTGTTGTTCACGGTATCTAACAATCATTCTGTACTGTCCCGACAAATGAAGCGGCACCTTACTTGGGCTGGGTTCTGCACTGTGTACCGTGCACTTTTGGCAAAGATTCCACACCCGGAGCCGGGCATTCTCGCCCGATGACCGTCTGGAAATCCTCAAACTCCGGATTGTTAAAAGGGAATTCTATTTCAAGAGAAGTCAGTAATTAATTATATTTTTGTGAAATTTACCGGTATCCTACCACATAAACAGCAATTCGGCGCCATAAGTTTTCTTATGTCAAAAGCTTGATTGAACTTTCATCCGTATCCGGTTTTAAACATACGCATGCTTTCAGGTCGGGTCGTGCGATCGTCTGAGTTATAAACTACGTATATCCTTTCACTTCAGTACAAATAAAGAAAAATTGGCTTTACAGTTTTCTTTTCAAATATGAAGGTTTAGTTTTGGTTAAAAGGTGACGAATGTTTAATTAATTCTCTCAAAATCTAATTAGAATCACACACCAGCGCGTGAAGTGAATCTATCGTAATTAGCACAGAACAATTTACTTAATACCAATCTTTTCAATCCCGATATGCGGTTAAAACATATTGTTTGTCCAGGATGTGTTTGTCCAGTAAACCTTGACCTTTTACGCGTTTTATTTCTTACAGGTTTAAAATTACTGTTTGTTCACAAACCTACATCTGACGGTCCCGACGTAAAGTGAACGGTGACAAAATTGATACTAATTCATTAATTTGCTGACCGTAAATACCGCCACTAATTAGACTAGACATGTCCAGCGGGTCGTAACAACTAATTGATTTCTCACGGCTGACCGGACGTGATGGCTAACGAGACTAGACGTTATCCGCCGCGGTGAGGTGAACACTCGTTAGTGTCATCTTGGTCACGTGTCAGTGTATATATGTAGATCGATCAGAACCCTATCCCCGCCTCCACTATATGTAAATATATAGTAATGTAGGTGCGTTTGTTTTCCGTGATTGTTAACCGGTAAGTATAAGAGTTAATTTAAATCCTAAATAAACATACATGGCGTCTCCGTATCATGATCCGTCTTGTGCTTTGTTAAACTTTGAAAGGCGTAGAGGCTTGTATCCTACCGCTGCCAAACTCTAAAAAAAAAAAAAAAATCGGAACGTAAAAAGGGAATAACAGTACAACTATCGATATTCTACATTTTATGAATTTTGATAATTTACTACAATGACAACAGAAGTATTCTTGGCGAATTGTTTCGGTAATATTCTCAGAGACCTCAATATGAGGATCGTATCTAAAGTTCCGCGAGTGACTATTATCGGGACAACAGCGAAACCGTTTATCTGGCCATTCCCACACCGACTGTCATTTCGTCCTATGTGTAAAATAGTGGACCGTCTTGATATCCATAATTTCAGAATTTCAATAACACTGATTCCTGATTCAACTTCCCAAACATGATATTCCCACCAAACTGAATTAAAGTGACGGTCTGCCCCTAACAAAGGGACAGGTTCAGTGAGCTACCCGACAGGCGCCTTCTCATGGTATTTTCATTCTCGTTTATTGCATATGAATTAGCTTTGCAACAGTTGATTTTTCTTAGTTCATTTACCCCGTTTTGTAGAGCGTAGAGCGAGGTAGCATCAGTGGGCCCTCGTTAGTGTAGAGGTGACGTGTATTGGCGACAACAGGCCAGCCTTCGCCCGACCCGCCGAGCGATCTGTTGTGATCAAGTGTCTATTTTGTGCTATTGAGCCGAGGAGATATACGTTGAAAAAGCTGGATTTCGTGTCTATGCTATTGCATATTAATGGTATTGTATTGGCTCGAAGCCTTAACCCCTCCTACCTCTCCATGGCTAGCACGTGAAAGCCGTTACTATATATTTATTGTAAACGTGTCCCCTCTGCTGTTTGATCTCTCTACATTGCAGACTTTTTGCCTCATTAATACGCTGAGTCGCTGGCTCCAGTGGGCCTGCCTCCCCCAAAACAAGTTTGATGACCGTGGTCCGAGGGCTGGTCTTACCAGAGGGAGATGGGGATATAGCCAAACCGCTCTCCACTGTACACCAGTAAACTACACGAACGTCGTGTGCTTTGGACTTACCTGCTGGAGATAGCTAAGATACATAAAGCCTGTTTGATAGATCTTAATAGTATTACTACATGAACGATACAAACTGTGTGACTACACACACTTCTGTGGTAATTCAGAATTTAAAACGAACGGTGTGCCCGCCAGTAAAGGCCCATGTCTAGACTCCGTGTCTCTTGTAGCATTTTTCTGTGTATACCTGGATGAGAAAAGGACATTTTACGTGAAAACAACATACATATATATATAAAAGAAAATATGTGGAGATGAATTTATAACTGAGTGTTTTTTAACTGAAGAGAACACCCGACAGATAGCGGATAAGAAGTCTTTGTTTACAGTGGTATGGGCACAGAAACAATTCATAGCTGTGTTGACGGAAATTGATGTGACCACACGCTATGGTTTGGTAAGTGACTGATTTTATTTAAATTGTCAATATTGAATGTTAAAATACCATTTAAAAGAAAATGATTGGCGCAGACTTGTCACATAAGTTTTGAATTGCATAACTAATTCAATGACTTCAGATGTGAGATACGGCAGCTGACTAGCACGCGCCAAAAGCACGTGCCACAATTCTAAAACATCATCTGACTTGCGGAACGAAAAAGTATTTCTGTACTTTGAATAACGCTAGGTCTAAAAGGCTTGATTGATTTTTAGGTTTAAGTACTTTTGATACTCAGTAGATAGAGAAAAAATAACGTATCGCTTCGCTGAACTTTTGATGTCAATTATCAATCAATGAATTCTATATTTCGTTTGTATTTAAACAATTTATTACCTTACCTGTACTGATAGAACATATTTACACAACGAAATAACTATTTGTTTCCTTACGCAGATACCGATTACAATCTCCGTTAAATTAAATCTCGTAAATTTAACCTGGTATCTATACTCGGTATTAAGACGTTCGGAAACTCGTACTATTTTTATACTCAAATCGAAAAAAAAATTAATTATAATTTTGAGGAGGGCGAAAAAATTACCACCATGTTGTAAAAGAGACAAAAACATAGTTTTTAAAGTAGGGGAAGGGTATTGCGGCTGGCGACGATACGACCTCAACGAGTAACAACCGCGCTGACTAAAAACAAGAATCATGCACAGATCTATGATGATATCCAGACAAACATTTAAATAACGATTACGGTGTTTTTTGGCAAACTATTGTAATGTTGATGCTGTATCTAGAACAGAAGTGTTATGTCAGGGCAGGTGACCTAAAAATAGGTCATAATAAATGGCCAGATTTCGGATGATTAATTTTTTTACGTTCCGTCAACAACTATGGTCATTTAAAGAACAGCGCAACAGATGGCACGTGCATGTTGAGTAACTAACAGTTCCTATGATGCAGATGATTAATTGCATGATGGAGTGTTTTTCTTTACTTTTAATTTCCGTCGCTAGTTTTATATTCATGTTCCTAATTTATTTTGTAAAAATAATGAATTATTTATTAAAAACTAATTATAATAATATTTGAATGTGGTTATCGCTTATTATATATGATACAATCAGGTAGGGTTTGCTTATAATAATCAATAAATTATGCCGATTTGGAGTTGAGAGGTGGCAAGTGAAGGCCTTAGTCCCACTATGGTACCGATGACTGATCTGTCCACTTGAGCAATACTTGTCACTTCCATTGATTACTAACACGTCAGCCTAACCACACAACACCTCGGTAATGATCAGTATGCCCTCCCACGGGGGAGTGGACACAATTCAAAACATTCGTATTTCTTTCCGAAAGTGATACTTTTTTCTAGAGAAATTTCTTAAACGGACTTTTTTCCCTTTCACAGAAAAAAGAAACAGTGAATTTCGATTTTACATATGTTAGAGTAATATCGATGGATTTGTCACTTGTTTGAAAATAATTCATAATTCAGATTTAACATAGTTTTGTATGACTTCTGAAGATTGGTATCTAAGGGTGTCCTCCGGAGATAGATCGTGTATTTGTTTGCAGGGAAAATGTTTTCATGACATGATTTTCATTTTTCTTAATATCCATTCTTCATTTCCACATATTGGATATAAAAAGACTATCTGTTAATGTTGGGTCTAAATTTATAGTCATAATTCATTTAAACACTTGTTTTATTTAAGTTTAATTCCTCTTTCAGATTGTAACCTGATCGAGTGATGAAGTTGAGAGCGTGCGCTCGCGCCGTGTTGCGGTGTGTTGTGTACCTAGCATGTATAATCGGCAGGACGGAAGCGGACCGGGAACATTGGAATAGTTTACAGGAAAATGATGTGTTTTCAACGGACGAAAGTGTGGGCAATTCTATAAAATATCACAACAAAGACAGACCGGTGCCATCCGATGACTTACCTGTGATAGAATTGATTGAAAACCCCGACAATTCCTTCAATCCCACAGACAGGGATACAGACTATCGCCAATTGCGAAGATTACTGGGTCACCATTTTGATAAAAACTTCATGTCGACTGTTAGACCTTTAGAAAGTGTTATACGTCCTAATGGAACGTTGGATTTTAAACTTAAAAAGGGTCGACCGAAAGAAAGAAGACCGAATTTCATTAAATATTTCGGATCGCCAGTATTCACAGGTGTGGGTAGCCAGTCTTCGAAACTTCGTGTTAGCAGACGGACTAGGAAAAAAATACAGAAATATTTGTGGAGTTCCACTCATTGTCCTGTGTTCCACACCTGGAAAGACTTAGGAGTGCGGTTTTGGCCAAGATGGATTAAGGAGGGACAGTGTTATAAGCGCAAGTCATGTTCCATACCCCCTGGAATGACTTGTCGTCCAAGCGGTTCCACCTCAAAGACAATCCTTCGATGGCACTGCCGGGACTGGCAAAAGAATGCCGTGTGCCGATGGATACACATTAACTACCCCATCATCACGCGCTGTTCGTGCGAGTGTTGACACGTGAAGCAGGATATTTACTTCATGAAGGAAGTTGTTCATATCGACGATATTTAATTTCTCATGGTTCGAGTTCAAAATGGACGTGGATTTTTATTATTGTACTTTTCGTGATAAGAAATGTTTAATTTATTTTCAATGTGCGCGACTGCCATTAAAATGGCCGACACATTTGGTGTTGGCAAATTCGTGCAATGGACGTGCGCTCTTCGGAGCGTTTTGATAGATTCCTTATATGGCAATGCACGATCATTATTGACACCAGCACTTTTGTATGTGTTGATAAACTATGATTCTGTAATTTTACAAGTATTTCGTGGTCATGGTGATTTGTACATCATTGGAACCCGTATGTTATTATGTTTTGTTATCAATGAAGTTAGTAATCAGTTTTTGTTCGGTGTTTTATCTGTACATTCTGACTAAGCTCGTTTCGTTATTTAACTATCGCGATTGATTCGTGTTCTACAGAGATTATCATCTAATTCCATGTCATATCGTTGATATAGTCATTTTGAAATTCATATATCATTTAGTATTTCTCAACGCGTGGTGTCCACGAGTGTAAGACGATCTACCCGGGAACACAAATAGGGTAGACATTGAGGTAATTCATCAACCATTGTCTCGATTCGCTCCATTTATGTAAACAATAGAACGAGGTTTTGCATATTTTATTTTCTTCGTCGAATCCTTGACAAACCACAAGTAACAATATCGCTAGTATTTTGGAACATTGATTTGTTTTTTTGTTGATAAACTGATTCTGCAATGTAACCTTCCCAATATTGATCCTTGTACAAAGACTTTACAGCTCACTTTTGTTACTATTACAAACTTTTCGTCCTTTTGATCAGATAAGGAAAAACACCCTGAAATGATATAATCGTCCTTGTTCTGATACATAGATATGTTTATAAGCTTAAACAACAAGGCTAACAAATGACAAGGAACGAGGTAGTATTTTTTTTGTACGTATACATCATACAGTACTGAAAAGACTCTCTTGTAAAGTAAATTCTGGTAAACTCTCGCCGTATTACCATCGTCTGTCTACCACGGTTCCGAAGCTACACAGAGGGACAATCGACACACCGAGTGAAGTGTATTCAGGATATAAGTGTGTCTTCTAATATTTTTGGCGGAAATTAATTGTTCTTAGTTGTCCTGTAATAATTTATCAAGATGTCATATTTGCACGACAATGTCACTTTTTAAAGTAACCTGAGAGATTTGTGATTTAAGATACAATAAATGCCATCCGGCGGGTGATCAATATAACGTCAGTATAGTAGGCATGGAAAAGACGATGGTTCGTCATCAAAATGGCTATTCTAGTTGATGGCTTACACTTTCGATAATGAAACACTTATTTTAGCTTAAATCCAGTTATATTTGACACAAGACAATAATAAGGGTATAGAAGGTAGGTATAAGGATTGAACTGTGTAGTGCGCAACAGGATGGTTGCATGCAAGCTCTGGCATTTATGACAACCATAAATGCCATATGAAACAGTTCAGTGTTTGGATGTTACATACATATACACGGGAATAGTAAAATACTAAATACTGCGTTAATACTGATCACAATTTCAATAGGTTATATAATACAATGTATATCCGCCCTAGTATTTCCAATACTGTCAGTGACAATGTAAAACAAGGTAGATATCCGCGCTAATACTGCTATTTATATCAAGAACATTGTAATACAATCTATATATCCCATTAGCATTGAGACTATACTTTTAATGGCTTTGTAATACAATGCGATTTTATTGACCACACTTTCAATGACATTCTGATGCAGTATATATACTCAGCTAGTGCTGACACTACTTCCAATTACTTTGTAATACAATGTATATTTTCCGCACGAGTATTTCCGATACTTTCAGTGGCAATGTAGTTACCAAAAATTTCAGCGGCAGTGTAGTTAAAAAAACTTTCAGTGGCAATGTATTTACCAGAACTTTCAGCAGCAAAGTAGTTACAAAAACTTTCAGCGGCTATGTAGTTACCAATACTTTCAGTGGCAATTTAGTTACCAATGCTTTCAGTGGCAATTTAGTTATCAATACTTTCAGTGGCTGCGTAGTTACCAATACTTTCAGCAGCTAACTATAATTCAATATAGAAACATTTATATTTATGTATTCTCGCGCTAGTGACAATACCTTGATTGACTTTAAATACAATGTATATAACCGTAAGAATATCTAAACATGTATATAATACACTTTAAACGACCGCGGACATAGAAACTCTTGGTCCGAATGAGGGTTAACAACTTCTGATATATTAACTATTGCTGGTTATGCATAATCTAATTTCACAAAGTAAACACATCTTTAATCATTGAGACAACGACGTTGTAGCATTGTATGCTATTTAAACCAGTGCGCCAACATCCCACAGTAGCACACATACATTGTAACTATTCTACACGATGATGGTGCGATGTTGAAAAGTCACAATACCGGAGCCTTCGGCCACACCGTAACTGTTACTTGCTGCTGTGTGTACTAAAGATCACGTTTAATTTGATATGTATCTTATTTATTAAAAGCAATTACGATTATTTGTTCCCTTTCAAGCGACATGTCCTATTGTTGACGGCTAAATCGCATGACTGCCGTTTACCTACAGATAGTTTTTATACGTATACACAGCGGTGCGTTCGAAAGGCAAGCGATGATCGCCGCTCCAATAAACAATTTGGCTACTATTTCACAATTGCAGCTAAATAAGAAACTGTTGCCGAGATAAAATCACTATGAATGGCGTGTTTCCATTCACTAAAACGAGAATGAAAAGGTTGTCTTCCAGTCAAATTTTTTTATCACGCCATCATGACAATAGACTGTACATAAAGAGTACTTAAGTTCCACGCACAGCACTCTCTTAATTATAGAATAATGGCTTAAAAAACGGATATAATCCGCACATTTGGCGTAAATTTCATGAATTACTATTTGGTAGTGCTTTTTCCTCCGTTGTCCAATATAATCAGTATCTGTGTTCATTTACAGAAATGCTTTAGAATTGTATCGAATATTCGTTTATGACTTACATGCATCTCTTGATAAATAGCTCTAACACCAAGGATATTTTCAAGAAGACTTTTTCCCTTTTATATCTTATTTAAAGTTTGGTGGACTTTGTCTATTTATGGTAACGGTGTATTTTCGACACATTTCAAAATAACTATTGTCTTGTATGTTAAGGTTCCCCTGATATCTGATTAAATTATAAAATTTAAGAATATTCTAAATATAGAAGGATTATCATCCATATCAAGTTATCTTTCCAGAATGTTGCACTTGCAAAACTCTTCGTACACGAATCGTGTCGATGGTCACCAAACGTTTGTCAGCTAGGAAGACTTTTCTCTCTGTTAGGCATTATTCAAACGTATATGTGATGTTGATTGATTATTTCGCCGTCAAATTGACAAAAAGGTGGCACTTGTAGTAATAAAATACATATATTACATTCATATGAGTGCGATATCTTATTGTAAAAAGGAGAAAAACATCTTATTAATCCGTTTATCTATTGGCAGATACCGGTACTATAACAAACTGCAATACGATTTTCAGCGGCTGACTTCCTTTCTTAGGTCTTAAGACATGATATCATCACAAACTCAAGACAAGAAAACAATGGTGGCGTTTTCAATTGGTATTCATTTTTTCAGCGAAGTGTTCACTGTAGGTGATTCGGTGAAATATATATCGTAAAGAGGACGTCATTATTGGGCTAGTATTAAACATGTTCGAAATTCACAATCAGTTGGGATTGCCTATTCGTATTAAATGGTTAAAACTGTAGATATGACACCTAAATGAAACCAAAGCTTATAATCTTAACATTGGGTCGACGCTGCGAAATGGACTGGTCAATGCTGACGTGGATGTGGGCTTTGGACACGACACATTACCCTAACTGCTCTGGACAGTTTGCGACGGGCCTTCCGTGTTCTTTTCAGTGAGGTAGATACCAGCCACTAAATGGTGATAATTAAACGAAGCTATAAGCACAATCATCTTAAACATCGTCATCATTCGGCATCTTTCAATCAAACATTCATCTCGATCTGATGGTAAGGAAAGGACGACGTCAAGAGATTTCTGGGGAAACATGCTCTTCTCAGAAAAAATAACGAAAGGGCAAGAAATTTAAAAGACAAAGTAAAAAAAAGCAAAGACATATCTACCAAAAGGGGGAAAACGAAGACCGGAAAACAGCTTGGAGACCTATTTGTCTTCTCATTAAGGTGTTGAAATATTTAGTGTCTGCGTGACACACACGTACCGATAAAAACACAAGCTAAAGACGAGGACCACGTGGAACAAACGGGGAAAGTTGAGAAAACTAACCCAACGAATTGCTTCGGAATAAAACTAGAGCTATCAAATTTAAGAATCATCATCAAAAATGTCCAATGACAATTGTTTCATTTCGAGTCTCGATCTCAAACTGAAAAGTTTTTAAAAAAAGATCTACAAATATTCTAAAATGACTGCTTTGTAACTGCTCTGTTCTTGAAATGTTAACAGAGAATTTCCATGACACGATGTAATTTGAGAAAAGCCATCTTTAACAAACATAGCGGACGACCAGAACGTGGGTCGTGCACAAGGTTAAGAATGCCGATATGCCTCGTTTTCTTTTCTGAATATTTGTAAAAGACACCAAAAACACTAGAGAGACAGAGAGAGAGAGAGAGAGAGAGACACACACACAGAGAGAGACAGAGACAGAGACAGAGCGAGAGAGACAGAGAGAGACAGAGAGAGACACAGAGAGAGAGAGAGAGACAGAGAGACAGAGAGCGAGGGGGGGGGGGGGGGGGCTAAGCACGTGTTTTTCTGAAGATCAGGAAAGAACACTTGGACTGTGTACATAAAGAAATTCGATTGGTCGACGGAAATCACTTTTGTAATTATCAATAGTCAGTCGTAGTCTTAGCAGTTTCCTGTATTTTCGACACAT